GCTTAAAAACACTATAAAGTGTTGAGAATTGAGTATCGCTCTTGAGAATTGAGTACCGCTCAAGCCGGTGCTAGGGGGCGTGAGTGATGTTGCACTTATTCATTATCACTCATGTACAGACTCAATCAAACCGAGTCTGCAATTCTTATGTTATTTTGTTGTGATTAATGCTTCCGAGGGATCACTTTGTTTCCAGAATTTTGAAAATATTGTAACGACGTCAACACATTTTTAAGCACTAACCTGACCTAGTTCCCAGGGTTCACAATAAAGATCGTGTGGCACACGCAAATAACAGGGGGGTGGGGTGGATCCTAATGTGCTGTTAAAAGTACTGCACTTTTTGAACTTCATTGTACAACTGTAATATTGAAAGACCTCGTGTTTCACAATAAGGAGTGTTTGACAATAACAGGATTTAATTAACTTTCTTAACATTAACATGCACTTTTTCATTTATTCTTGTTTGTGTGACATCACAATCAATTTTCATGTTAATTTTACGGCTGCTGATTTTTACCAGCCATTAAATGCATAACAGACAGCGTTTTAGTATAAATATAAAACACGTAAGCCCATTACACAGGTAATATAAATTTTTTCACATTGCATTGATTGTTTTTCAATGCACATGAATTGTAACTAGAATTCACAACGCAGTTTCCTCTTCAATTTATTCTTTTGACAAAATTTTCCGTTAGATTAATAACATTACATTATGTAAAGACATCACTTTTACTTCATGTTCCTAAGTCATTGTTATCTAAAAAAGAGAAAATAAGAATCCCTAAAGAATGCCCAACACGGCAAAATTGAAAATGTTGCAGGCTCGGGTTGATTGAGCCTGTTCATGGACGGTACTGACAAGTGCAAACTACCGTCCACGCCCCTAGCACCGGCTTAAGCAGAATTCAACATTTAACATGAACTGGTACAATTTAGAATTTTGAAACATCCGAAGATATGTTCATATGGCGGTTATCGTGGAACCTTCAATGTGATATGTAAGTGCCATTCCATGAAAAGCGGCATATGGTCCCCAAGAAAAGAAATGCTTTTGCCCTAAACGAGAAAACAATGGGCGGAACTAATTAAAATGGAATTTTGAAAGGGGATCAGAGGTTTATGAAGCCTGCATATCACAGATAAGACGTCAAAAAACAAATTTAAAAAAAGCAGGCCACATATCTAAGGGTGCTTCAACGGTATTCAAGTAAGGAATACTGGAACACCCAACAAGAAATAGCCGAATAAAGAATTAAATTACCACAAGCACAAACAATAATGGTCGTGCTGAAACGATCTATAAGGAATGGAATATAACATTCTGATTGAAATGTACGGGGCGACTTTTTTACAGCTCTCCACGCGGGCACAAACAACGCTGATGGTGGCGATAAAAATAGAGAAAATAAGAATCCCTAAAGGAAGCCCAACACGGCAAAGTTAAAAATGTTGCTGGCTCGGTAATCCATTATTGTTGTAAGTTTGCATCGAAGGTTTGTAACATATGTAGAACTTTGTTACTGTCGGCCTTGTTTAATGTTGCATTATGGGTGCAACCGGCTAAGTAACGAAAAATAAACAAAAACTAAAACGAAATGGTTTAATCAGAAACGTACTTTTAATGTCCAGTTTAAGGTAAAAGAGTAAAATATGTTTGTTGTGTTAAGTAATATCTACTAAATAATTTTGTCTTAGTATTTTTCATGTTATATTTAAAAGTTTACAAGCGTCATGGTTGGTGGATACGACAACATTTGGATGAGTCACACTAAATGATTGAATGGCTACGAGCAAATTGACCATTTTTATAGTAAGTAATCAGCCGAATTTCTGCCAGTTTTGGTTATAATACTTGAATAAACGCTATCTGTTCCATCATATGCAGATTCTTGGTAGTCATTGGTATACATTTAGATCCAATTAGAGCAACCTTACAGACCAGTCTGACTTGTAAGGCCTTTAACCCTGGTGTAAGGTCAGTATAACGCTACCGAACATAAATTCTAGTGTGTTACTAGCACGTATCAATAGTATTAGGTTTTTGTAGACGATAAATATGATTATGCGGATATATGTTACATTCATTTTTTCATGAATTATAAGTAACTGAAACTGAACATTTATTGGGATTCAACATGCATATAGGAAATCCGGATATGTGATAATAGCTGTCAAATATAATTGTTATTATATCTCAAGTATATAAAAGAGCAAACTCTTTTCTTTAAATTTATACACATAGTTTAAGCTTAACAGGTAGTTTGCTTGATTTCAGTTGTTTTAGTGTATAGTAAACACAAACATATTTATCTCAGCGCTGTAGGTCTGGACACAATGGTGTATTGATAGTAATAAGGCAGTCAAAAATAATGATAATTAATATCATGATTCTAAATGTTGTATTGCTGTATTTTAGGTCCAAATGAATGTATGATCTGGACATTTTGTTTTTGATTGTAAAGATAATCTTATCATAATGATTATGAAAACTTTTATTTTCTTTTCAGTTTTAAGTTATTACGTTTTTTACAATTGTTATTCTAATCAAAAAAAACTTTTTTCAGCAATTTCAGCATCAGTTCAACGACCTAAAGAGACGTTGTTATTTGACGAAAACAGCTTAAAGACATAGTGCCATTTACAATCAGATAACATATAATTAGTTTCTTTAGAGGAAATAAATGTGTTTTACAGTCTGTCTTATTCATAATAAAAACGGTCAAATGTTTTTAAATGATCATAAATATCAGCATTATATTCATGATAAAAGAATCAGACTTTACCAGAACAGTTAAATGACTTGAATTCATCACAACAATTAAATGATTCATTTACGTATATGTGACATTACATTACTACCATTATGCTTGTCTACTCTTAACAAAGCCAATGCACTATGAGTACCTCTTGATTTTCAATTACTCTGGCCAATCTTGGATGTTTAAAAAGTGGTTCACAGGCTGAAATAAATTGAAATACTATTTCCTGCCACCATGCCAAGTTTCATGCTTTTCACAGAAGGCGCACACCAATTTCTTGGACTAGTAAATATATTATGATATCAACAAATCTAAGCTTCATTGAGGTCAATTGGCATCATATGCTCAAGATAAATAAAAACAAACAAAATTGTCGCTGTTTGTGTTTATAACGATTTGAATTACATATATATGTGGTAAAATAATTATACCTCTTACCGTTTTCTTTATCAATGGTATTTTAGTAGTATTCTATAAGCAATGCCCTAACAAAATTGCGCAGTTCACGAACTAAAAGCTTGAATTTGAATATGCTCGTACTCTCGTGGCTGCAGTTTTGATCTAAATATCCTGGAAATTCGTCAGGAAGGTTGTTTTGATGATTTCTAGGTCAAGTTTGAATATGGGTCATCTCCAGTCAAAAATTAGGTCACATTGCCCAAATATGGAAACCTTTTTAACACAATAGAGGTCACATTTTTGACTCAATTGTCATCAAACTTGGATAGGATGCTTGTCTAAGACATTGCTTGGATGCGGTTGATGGGTCAGGGGAGCGATCCAGGGCCATCATTGCCCTCTTGTTTACTTACATGATAGGTGTGTTGAAGTCGAAACAATCAAGTGGGTCAAGTGATACTTGGTTGCTTGACCTGTGATAATATTAAAATTAACTTTTCGGTCATGTATATTCCACCACTAGTAGGCCTACTACTTCACATATCACTGCATTGTATAAATTATTCTACAGTTAATATAACAAAATTTTATAATATTAACCACACTGTGGCTTCCTTTATCTAGTCTTATCACAATATTTGCGTTGTATAGCATTCCTTGCCTATTAATGGTGTAGTAACCTTACTGACTGTGTAGTAACATTAGTTATGTAGTAAGATATTTTACCTTATATCCTTTCATGTGCAAAATTAATGGGAACTTAAGATTTTCCTTCATTTATCAGTTTGTCATAACTGATAATGATTGAGGTGTTTTTATCTTAAGATGTTTTATCTTAAATCATATACCCGACAGGGAGATCTTACTGGATTGAATTACAATAGGTTTATGACCTTGATCGCTCAAGTGATGGACCCAGTGAATGTTCTTCACGGTGTCAGGAGTTAGTGCAAGGTTAGTGATGAATGTGATGATACAGTAGAGTCGAAGTTTTGATAAGTCGATTTCTCGATGTGTCAAAGTAAAATGAAAGTTCTGATTTTCCCCCTATGTATTCTTTGTAAAAACCTATATTTGAGTTGAAATTGAGATTTATGAGTCATAGTCCCAATTTGTCGAAGGTTTTACACAAGTCCCTTCAACTTACACTTACCTTATTTCTACTGTATTTCTCTCAGCTATTTTATCATACTGTTTATGATGTTAGAGGGAGCAACACAGCTTAGATTAAAGTGGCCTTTTGCTTTTATTTTTTTGTTGGGAAAGCTATTATTCTGTGTTGTTTCAAACTAAGTATTACAGTATTTTTATCTTAGAAAGTGCATCATATCACACTTTTGAGCTTCTTCGAAATATAGTCCCGAGAGCTATTTATAGGGTGACATGATGTTCGTTTCTAAAAATAGAAGATCAGGAAACAAATTTTCCGCTTTATTGATTAATAATGGAGGGCAGACCAGTAGATAGGTATTTAGGGATTTCCTTATTATTTATCTATTTTATTGACGGCAAATTTCATTTTCTACCTTAACCCTTTACCTTACATATACGCGAAACAACGCACTTTTGACCCCCCCCCCCCACTTTAAGGCCTCAAATAGTGAAAAAATATCCTGTTTGAGCCCCAAACACATGTTTTCTTTTGAGAAATGTTGTGAAAAAAGTGACCACTTTTTCGGCGCGGCCCCCAACCAAAAGATACACCAGGGAGTTGCCAGAAGGGGTAGGTCCAGAAAAATTCTTGAAAATCTCTGTTTCTGGTAATTATAACGATCATCTTCGGTAACAATAAAAATGAAATTTAAAACCAATTTTATAAAAAATGGAAAGGAAAACTTTGATGAAAATTTTTATTTGCACTGTCCAATACAAGAATGTTAAGAATATTACAGCTGCACCCATCCAGACAAAACAAAATATTTCAAGAAAATCAAACAGAGATTTTAAAAAAAGTCAAAATAGTTAAAAATGCTTGTTTTATGGGTAAAACCCTCTGCAGCCAATAGGCTAAAGAGAATATTATAATTAAAAAGAAATAAAAAAAACAAATAAAAATATAATAATGAAGTCTGCATGGTTAGACTCTGTTTTCGCCAACAGTTTAGGATTAAAGAATTTTTTTTAAATTTTCATCAGTTTATCTTGAGGGCTAATTATTTTAGATTTATTGCCTAGATAAATTAGGTCACGTCTTTTCTAGCTTTTGCAACAATTGCATCGACGTTTTTGTTTTCAAATGAAACACTTTTCATATTAACATCATAGAAACCGTTTTTCTCAAGGGCGGACATGTATCTGTCTGGGTCGATATTTCCGCCTTGCATGAATCCATGTTTCGCTATTTCTTTTACTAGAGAATGATTGTGGCATGTAACCATTAACCTGTCTGGTTTAATCACTCTGTGAAGTTCTTTAGCTGCAGCGTCCATGTCTGGCCAGTAAAAGTAACAGTTAGTATGAAATATACTGTCAAATGTACTGGCTTCGAATGGAATATCTGTCACCGAGGCCATATGGAGTGTTACTTTCCCTGTTGCGATTTCCTGTTTCAGGTTTCGACTAGCCGTATTAAAACTCCTGTTAGAGATATCAATGCCATGAACTATACCAGAACCATCTGTAAATATACAAAAAACCAGAACAACATGTTAACATACAAAAATTTTGTTCCTGGAAAAAGACTACCTGTAAACATTGCCATTTAATTCCTTTATTGCAAATTCAAATGATTATGTTAAATAGTCTCGTTGACTTCAAATCACTTTCCCCTTACTGCCTTGGGTTCGAATCCCGATAGGGACTTTGGATTTTTTCATGTGAGGAAGCTATCCATCTAGCCTACAGATTTTCAGTGGTTCTACTCGGTGCTCTTTTGTGCCTGAAAGGCACCTGAGGTCTTCCTTCACCATTAAAGCTGGAACATCGCCATAATTATGACCTATACTGTGTCGGTGTAAGACAAAACCCATTGTGGCTGAGAGGTTACCTTCAATGGTGATTCATTAAACTATATAAGGAGTTAACACGTAACTGCACTAAGGTGACGATTTGTTAAATACTTCAAGTCACTAAGTTTTAATCTTGTCAGGGACATTATTCATGTCATATTGATGGATTCAGCCAGCTGCCTGTTTGAAGGAGTGCTTTATGCCCCCCCCCCCCCCTCCGCAATTGGAAAGCTTTGTAGTTTCAGAACATAGTTTCTACTTGTTTCTGAATAATGGCTGTAAAAAAACAAGCCTTGTGTTACTTCCTTCCTTCTTGAAAAAAAGTTTAGAAAACTAGACATTACCTTTAACCATTTTGAAAGCTTCATTTAGACCAACACCTGGACCGAAACCCACCTCTAGTACGTTATCGTCTGGTTGAATGTTACATAACCTTACAGCTGCATGTTCCACCAACCTGTTTGTTTTAACTAGATATTTCTGTAATAGATTTAAAGTGACTTTGTACTCATTTTTCATTGTCAAGTTGACCTGAATCGGCTTTTTATTAAAAAAGATTGAATATTAGTGGAAGCTTTAAACTGAGGTGTACTCAGCAGTGTAGTGTATGCATCCATTTCCTGGGTAGAGTGCTAAAGGTTAAGGTTGTTGACTTCAAACCACTTGCGCCTTATTACTATGGGTTTGAATCCCAACTGGGACTAAAATTCTTTCATGTGAGGAAGCTATCCAGCTAGCTTATGGTATAATGGAGGTTCTACTCAGGTGCCCGTTTGTGTCTGAAATAATGCACAGAAGTACATTTGAGGTGTTCCTTTACCAGTAAAGCTGTGTTGGTGCAACATAAAACTCAACAAATAAAATTAAAGAATTGAAAGTCTAAGCATTCGACATCTGTATAGAGCCAGGCAAAAAAGCACGTCCATGCAGTATGACCAGGCTGGCTACTATTGGCTGACAAACTTCAAATTTTCATCTTGATATCCCTAAAATTATAACAGACTGTTCCAAAAATGGAAGCTGGACAAGTCCATTTAAGAAATTTTGCAGGTTATTTAAGGGTTGAAAATGGGAAAATAAATAAATTTACCGTATATCATTTTAACAAAAAGTCTTTAATATATTAAATATTCAGGGTTTTTGTTATTAAGAAGTTGGCGATCCATATAATTGGATGAAATGCTGTTAAAATTTGTTGTATTTTCAGCCTGTAGCCTTGACCTTTGGCCAAATCAGTTGTTTTTCTAGGCACATTTGTTGCCTCAGATAAAAATGAAAACCCTGAACATGACTTTGAAATAAGTGATTAAGCATAAGAATAAATTGTAAATGTATAATTAGAAAAAACTGAGAGAACTTGCTTACAGTCACTAGATATCCCATAATGCCATTACTTGGATTCGCAAAATTCTTTGAAAGGATATGTCGCATCATTGGTTTATGCTTGAGTTTTTCTGAAATATACAATAATAACTCGCCCTCACAGATAAATATTTTGCTCTTAATAATTAGGATAATATTATCTAAAAATGTAAGCAAAATCCTTAAGTTAACAAGAAGATACAAGTTTTTTTAGTCTACCACGGTTGAGAATCACGCCGTTCGTTACCCAAACAAACAAGATGGCGGATGCAGCCAAAAAGTAGGTTTTTCCCTTTTTTCTCTGAAATTCGTAATGTTCTAATGTAAAGGTACATATAACAACCTTCTCCACAATTTTCTTGGCACACAGGATTTTATTTCATGATTTTTCGTCCCGTAATTCATCTGAAATGCGCGTCACCAGATTCGAAGCGAGAGAATTTTCCACCGGTTTGATCGTGGTAACATACGGCTTTTTCTCTAAAATTCACTGTTTTGTTTACTAAATGTCAATTTACTGAAACCACTGACCTTAAAAAGTTGTAATATGTTGTCATCTAAGCATTCATGCCCATTCAGGCTAGAATAACCGCGGAAAATATTAATATCGGGGCATTTTCTGGAAATGATAACGTATGGCGCACAAAATATCAATGATAACGTACGGCGCATTTTTTTCTGATTAATTGATTTTCTATATAATAGAAAAGTTATGTTTACAAGACATAACAGGATGTGCAGAACCAAATAAAGAAACTAAAATAAATAATATAAGTGTCCAGCTTTATTTGTCATCCAGTGAAAGCGCTGTATTTCTTAAAAATTCTTTCTGTAAATTTTCATAGAAGAACAAAAGTCGATGATATATCAAAGTCCATTCATAGCAGCATTCTATTTTTCATAGTGCTTCATCGAGCCGCGTTTTTGCAAATGGACAGGTATGGTGAAGAAATAAAGTAAGTTTTAAACCGTAACATACAGAAATAAGAAATATTCTCCGGTCACTATCGCTCCCGTCGAAGTTTCTAATTTCTGTAGAACAACACGGATGAACACTAACATATACTTCGAAAACACTAGTTTAAGAGTAGCGTAATAATTTTTAAAACCGTTCTTTCATAAAGATAATGACGTTATCTAAGCGCATGAGCGGTCTGGCATCAAAGGTTTCAGACGGGTTTTCCGGCATGGATAAAAACATCGAAATCCAAATCCGATTTGAAACTTTATATTTAACACTAGAAATTAATAAGCACATTCCTATGTCACTCTATTATTGTTTTTGTTGGGGCGTTTGTGGAAAAAAAACGCCAGAATATGATAGGCAAATTCTTGCATGTAATTGTTTTGATCAAATTATGACGTTCCTTTCATTTACATCATTTACAATTATGAAATCCCCAATTGATGTGAAGGGACCTTCATTTTCTAGGATATGTGTATAAACATATGGTAATTGGGTTCATGTGTCAAATTCGAATTATATACAACAATTTTGCATTAATGACACAACGTCACACTAAATGGTAGCGTTTCAATATTAACCGCCCGTCAAATAAACAGAAAATTTCGTATTTAGTAATAGTTATAGTACATGAAACGAGTTAGTTACGAGGATATAACACTGGCTGGGGCGACATCAAGGGATGTTTCTGCTAAAAAATGGCGAGGCCGTAAGGACGATACAATTTTTTGCAGAAACATGCCGAGATGTCGCCCAGCTAGTGTTACATCCTCGTAACTAACGAGTTTCATATACTATATCTCTTTTATCGGAATGGCATAATGTTTTCTTTTTTGTACTAGAAATAAAAAAGAAAAGAAAAATAAAATAAATAAATTAATAAATCGTTGGCTACATTATAGTTATTTATGATAAGGCAGTTTTTTCAAGTTGTTTTCGCTGCCGCAAAAATATATATATATATACAAAAGACATCCAATGTTAGAGGCGGATTGTAAACTGTTACCAATATTGATTCAAGATTAAAGGGCTTTTTTCAGTGAAAATAATTCATTTAGCGGATGTACCTTTTGATTAAATGAGAGTAAATTTCATTTCATTAATTATCTTTGTTTATTTTTTTTTTTCATTGTATTTATTTATTTTATTTTATTGATTCCACTTTTTTGCTACTGGGAATGTTCGTTACCACTGCCCCATTGGAGCCTCTGTGAAAAAAACTGTATGGATACATACAAGGTGCGAAAAAAAACACTATGTAGCAGTCGAGATTTTTTCCTATATGAATCAATGAAAAATCTGTTCTGCTATATATCAATACAGTTTTCAAATGCTCATTGAAGTGTACTGAGTATAAAAGGTTAGTAAGAACAAAGGAAAAGTTCCAAACCAGGCGATAACTAAATTCATTGAAGTTTTTCGGATAACATTATTTTCTAACTCATTCAATAAATTCAAAATAGAACCTATACTCATTCATTGGCGTCCGCGCCGAAGCGCGACGCCCTTATGGAATGAAATCAGATTTTGTGAAAGGGCAATTGCAACTTCTCGAGCCTTTTCGTCTGCCATAATAGCCGAACATTCCGATTGGTATGAGTGTTTGATTATCAAAAATGAAAGGTCGCGATATGTAAAATTTATAGCGAACTTGATAATTTCGCAATGTAAACATAATCAAATGAAATAATCTTATTATTCTCTGTTATGTATTTTTCTTGAATAAACACAGGCTCATCTCAAGCTAGTCGCAATCACTTTTCGTTTTGTATATGTTTGACGGGTTCAAATATTAAGATTTTCTGATGTTAGGAATGATTTAAGACTTTTTCTTTGGAAAAGAAAATATATCAAGCCGTCCGTACCTTTTAACATTTTTGCTCTGATGAATGCGTTTCTTCTTTCTGATAAGGGGATAAGACCATAATTATCGCACAACACTGGTGAAATTTAATGTGAAGACAACACTACACAAATGTTTCCTGAAAGCTGAGGCTTTTCTTTCCATTCTGCATTTTTAAACAAAATATTCTCAAACTATACACGTTTTTTTATTTGGTATATTAACAACGAATATCTATTATGCCACCAGCTAGAAAGATATTTATATTATATCCGATGGTGCAGCAGTGTTCAATAAATTATTTCTGACCTGACCAACATTGTTTTTCAGATATATATCATTTCCTACATAAAAATAATTCATTATCGGCTGATTGAACAAATGGAAATCCATCAAGTAGTAAAATGCGCCGTACGTTATCATTGATATTTTGTGCGCCATACGTTATCATTTCCGGAAAATGCCCTGATATTAATATTTTACAGCAGTAAATCTAGCCAGAATGGGCATGATTGCTTAGATGACAACATATTACAACTTTTTAAAGTCAGTGGTTTCAGTTAATATACATATATGTAAAAGAAACAGTGAATTTGAGAGAAAAAGCCGTACGTTACCACGATCAAACCGGTGGAAAATTCTCTCGGTTCGAATCTGGTGACGCGCATTTCAGATGAAGTACGGGGCGAAACATCATGAAATAAAATTCTGTGTGCCAGGAAAATTGTGGAGAAGGTTGTTATATGTACCTTTACATTAGAATATCACGAATTTCAGAGAAAAAAGGGAAAACCCTACTTTTTGGCTGCATCCGCCATCTTGTTTGTTTGGGTAACGAACGGCGTGATTCTCCCCCGTGGTCTACAGTGGTTGTTTGTATTTTGAAATACAAAGCTGACATTCCGGCTCTGATACAGCGCTTCACGACAAACCTAACAACAAGTACTTACATAGTATTTACATACTAAATATGGCCAAGACATACAGTTTACATAAAAAGTTACACAAAAACTACACATTTAATCTTGAAATAATAAATAATCAGCAAATATCAAACATTAAGAAATTTTTAACTCACTAATGAAATAAATCCTATGAATCAATGAAACGGTAACATTTACAAATGTTTCTGGGGTTTTATGTGCGAAATCATATGTAATGCATTTGTGCATAAATTGTCAAAATTTACAGATAAAATTGCCCTTGCGTAACTTTGTTGAATGATATATGATTATATGTATATTTGTACATTAGATACTTTCATGATAAAACGCAATATTATTCACTTCAAAATAAGTTTGGCATATAGATCTACCAGACCTCGGCTTTAAATTAAAACCATGATCAGATATTATGTTATTGAAGCATGAAATGTATTTAAATATTATATCTAAATTCATTGAGCTTTAATAGAAATATTTAGGTAGGAAAATTTCACCTAAAATATTTATTGCATATTTTCTCATTTTATTTCAAAGTACTTTTTTCTACTGCAGCATTTTATTGACACTATGTTGTAAACGAACAAAAAAAATGTCATATCATCTGGATATTCTGGGACCTTATAAATTATTATGTGGTTATGAATAGACATAATTGTAATGAAGGAAGGAAAGAGTATTTGTTTAAACTTTTTCCTTGTTTAATGCAATGTGGTATAGCCAGTTTTAACTTTGTACCTGCTATATAACTTTATATCTTCATATCCTATAGAAAGTTACTGATATTTTTGTTTTTGTGAAATGAACTGACTCCATCTGTCAATATGTCAGGATATTTTGCAACTCAGATATACCGCTTTAATAGCTTTAAATTGCCAAAAAAAAAAATCAAAATAATTTCAATATAAATACTGCTGCACCATTGTCTTATACAAAAAGAATGTCTAAGGAAAATGGCAGACTTCTCAGACATCTTAGCGTGAAACTGATAACGATCGCCGATTGGCTTATCTGTAAGACGACTGCCAGTTTGATCGACAGGCGGCGTAATGTCAGTTGTTGTACACTTGTACTGCTTCACATAGCACTGCATTGAATAAATCGTTCTACAGTTAAATCACATAAATTTTATAATATTATCCACACCTCATCTTATTTATATTCTAGTCTTACCATAATATTTGAGTAATTTATACTGTATAGCATTCCTTGCTTAAAATAGCCATGTAGTAATCTTACTAACAGTGTAGTAACATTAGTTATCTGGTAAGATTTTTTACCTGATGTCCTTTCATGTGGAAAATTAATGGGAACTTTAGATTTTTGCCTCCGTTTATCAGTCTGGAATCAGATATCTCATGCTTGAGGTGTTTTTATCATAAGGTTTTTTTATCTTAAATCTTAACCGAGACAGAGTGATCTGAAGATTCAATTTACAATAGGTTCATGACCTTTATTGCTCATATGTCATGTAACTGTTGACCTGTGACTAAGTGGTTATGGGTGCTAACTTTAAATCACTAGCCCCTCAACCCTATTTGTTCGAACCCAGCCAGTAGGTCTGGATTCTTTGGTGTATCTTAGCTTTATCAAGGTGCTTGGTATTGATATGTAAATATCTGGCCTTCAATGCTGAGTGGTTAAGGTGGTTGATTGGAAATCCCTTGTATCTTACCGCTGTGGGTTCGGGATTCCTTCAGTCATGGACTAAAGATATTTCTATGTGAGGAAAGCTAAATCCAGCTAGCTTACTTAAGGTTGGTGGTTCTACTGGGGTGCCCACATATGACTGAAGTATTGAATAAAGGGGCTCCTGATGTCTTACTATTTCTGCAAAGCTTGATCCTATGATCTTTACAGTGGCAGTGTTTCTTAGGTTCAAACAGAAAAAAAGGTTGATCGTTCTGATTAGGTGCCTCCTCATGCTTTAATATATAAAGGGGCACCTGAGGTCACCCTACCCCAGTAAGTTGATAAAATGTCCCCATGTGATGTTTACAGTTTGGTACAGTGGAGCCTTGCTAATCCGAACCATTCTAATCTGGAATCCTTTCTTATCCGAACGAAGTGTCCGGTCCCGATTTTATTCTTTCTATTTTCAATAGTAAAAAACCTTTCGGATCCTCCGAATTCCAGACGAGTTTTTTTAAATTTTTGTTCTTAGTTTACTCTTAAATCCGAACAGATTTAGCCAAATGTCACACCTCCATTCAAAATAACAAATAATCTCACATCTTGCAGGTGTAAACATAAACCAAACTGATAATAGTAAGTTCCCTTGAGTAATGGGTGAAATGTATGATCTGCGAAGGTGTAAAAATTACACTTAGCTTGCCTTGATATCTACTTTAATTGCTTAATTGATTGTTTTTCGTCACATTCACTAAATATTTTGATACAGTGCAATAGAAATATATTTCGATCTTTTGTAATGAATTTAATGACACGTGATTAAGTAACGGAAATTAATGGAAACTGTCAGTGAATTTGGATAATCGCTGAATCGGATAAGAGTAACCAACAATTGACAAAAGCTGGTACGAATATTTAATCATGTCTTAGCCTCCTGTTTAATATTTTAATATCGTAGGTTGAATTAACCTTTTATGACAAAACATTTTTGCTTTTTTATGTATTTTTTACGGAATCCTATTTCGTCCACAATATTTCGCTAGTTACACGCGATAATTATCGCCTCTAAAGGGCGAAATTTAGTACTAAATTTCGCATGTCTTAAATTTCGCTAGTCTCTAACGCGATAATTATCGCCCTTTAAAAAGACCAGAGACACTTATACTAACGAAATTTAACAATTTCGACTCGATAATTATCGTCTTAATTTTCGTATGTTGTGTGTTTCTCACGCGATAATTATCGCTTTGAAGGGCGCTAATTATCGCATGAGAGACTAGCGAAATTTAATACATGCGAAATTTAGTACCAAATTTCGCCCTTCGAAATTATGGCGGAAAAAACACGTGCTAACGGTGTTACGGTAACACCGTGTTGTGTCTTGACCGGTAAGAAATGGCAGAGGCTGAAGAATAGGACATTTTGGTCAGACAGTTATTCATGGACGGTCTGACAAATTTGCAAATTCAGACACTTCTGAAACTTACTAAGAGGATACATGTTAGGTAAATATATAGTTTTATTATCAAAGTGAGGCATCATACAATCAATCCTATGACAGAAAGTTTTTCAACCAGTGATATGATAATATAAAATCAGGAAACATCAGACCGCTCACAATCTTTTGTCCATCGTATATACATGTATTATATTTGTTAACTTTGTTAACGAATTGTGGTATTGTTAGAAATGTTTCTTACATAAAGTACCTTGTTAAAAGAGAGTGGAATATGTGTGACTGTGTCAAGTAATTGTTAAACCAACTAAAACTATAGGTAGGATATTTTGTTCCGGAAGTTTTAATCTGATTTACATGCAAAAACCATGTGTGATAAATAGTTATGACATTTTTTGTTACAGCTTTTTGGAGAAATTACCACAAGGTCATGAATTCTGTGTAACTTTTACTGTTTTTAAATCTAAAAAAGATATAGCTTTTACCCTTTATACTAAATTGATGAATTTGTTTATAGGTTAGCCTGTCAAACTGTTGAACTGATACCATGATGAATATTTCTGCTTAATAATTTATTATTTTTAAAATGTATGTGTCTGATCAAAGAATATGTTAATGCAATATTGATTGTATAATTTCAAAATATATACATCCTGAGAAACTAATAAAATTCATTGAAATGGTATAATATCATAAAGAAATCGAAGTATTCTCAGATTTTGTATATCAATGAAAGAAGTCTATCCGTGCATGACTTAAATATGTACATTTTTTAATAAGAAATGGTACAAAAAGTGCTGGCATACATAAAATGTATTTTCAAACAATCTTTTAGATTTTAGAACTTTGCATTTTGTGTACAGTGAATATTAATTTTATCATATGACTTATATCAAGATAAATCATGTATTTTAATATCATGTATTTTTGTGCAAATATCCTATCCTTTTCAACAGCCTAAGAACATTAAGAAGAATATTAGAACGGCAAAACCTTCACAGAAGACAGACATTGGACACTTACTTAGTTGGTGCAGCTCTTTTGGTAAATGTAACATTATTTACTATACTGTATATAAATTTGTATATATGAAAATGCACACTGATGATATATTCAAAGTTACAGGGTAGTTTATTAATCTGTTACATGAAAATCCATTTTGCCCTGCACTTTCAAAGATCATGAAATGTGTTCAATGCCTACTTACAATTGTTGAATTTATAGGTTATAATAGGGCCGCATTTTATTAGCCCATGTACCTGTATCCCGCTATATCACACTTTGAATAGTTATTGTAGTGTTACCTCCATGTTCACTAACAGTCCAATATATTGTATAGATTTTCTAAACCGCTCAAATTTGTGAATGCGCGATTTTAGGTAAAAAAGTAAAAATAAATATCTAAAATAAATAAAGGTATGGGTATAATAATGGTGATCGATGTATTGTTTTTAGAAATGATTATTACATATTATAATTATTTTATTGGCTTTAAGATCCACTGTAGTTGACTGATATTATAAAATATCAACTGAAAATAAAGGTATCACCAACATTTTAAAAGTGAAAGTGTATATTTAAGCATTTATCTCTGTTATGGTAACTATGTAGTTATATTAAATTTGACGAAATAAATTTTAGACCAGAAAATGTGACGATTTTTTGGTATTTCAGTTTGAAATACAAGGAAGTGGTCAGCGTCTTGGATGCAGAATAATGGGTCAAAGGACTGTTATTCATTTATAATGGTTATAAGAGAGATGTTTCTGTATTTGAATGAAAATATGGCCTTGAGCATTATCAATTTTGCTATGATTAAAGTATACATTGACTCACAAGTGAGTAATTAGAAAGCTACAAAATTACTGCATAATACGTTCAATCAAGTCATAAAATATATCTTAATCATTATCAGTTAAAAATTAAAATTTATAATATAAGTTCTTTATGCAACAAATTTTGTCTGGGAGTAAGAAGTTTTATAAAATATATTCATTTTCAAGAATAAATGTGTTAACAGAATTCAACAGAATAAACATAATTCTTCGTTTGATGCATGAAATGGACCCTGATATTGTTAACATGAGGAGAAGAAATTCCCGTATCATAATCTGGGACCAAATTTTATGATACATGTTGATGGTTATGATATGGACTCGCAATTCATGGAGCAATTTGTGGGTATGTATGTATTCAAAGAACTGACTGCTCTGATTTCACATAAACTGCCAATCATGATAAGAAAGTAAAACAAATGACCTGCAGGGTTCTCTTTCTCATGAGGCATACAGTTATGCAACCTGTACCAACAGGGGCTGTAACTACCCTAAGGGTATCATTGCTATTTCAGCCTGGGTCCTATAGTAGGACATTTTCAAAGTTTATAAGAAAAAAGCTTTTTATTTTACTCCAGTTACCAATCCTGACTTCAGGACAATGAGGCAAGCTACATACATATTCATAGTGGTAATTGTTTAGCCTGAGAACAATAAACATTATACATAGTATATAAAAGAGCTGATGAATGTCATAGTTTATTTATTAATCGTGAATTTAAATCATTAACATTCACATACTAACCTCGTGATATTGTCATGAATATCCTTTATATCCAATAACTTTTCATGCTTTCGAAGGGCGGCATATTGAAAACGCTACGTATGTCTGTCTGTGTGTCCCCACATACACAACATTGATGTCCTGACTGTATTTTTGTCATGCATTGAGGGATTTTAAAATAACTAAGCACATCAAGATGATGTGTCGCGTTTAAGGGACAATCATGTCACTACCGTAAAGGTCAAGGTCAGACTTAAGAGGTCAAAGGTACACCATTTACACAACATTTATGTCTAGATTGTATCTTTGTCAAGTATTAAAGAACTTAAGAATGACTTAGCACAAATGACAACCACATCACAATTAGTGATTAAAAGTACACATAGTTTTGTCCAAACTAACTTTGTAATGCATGGAAGGATTTTAAAATAACTCTGCACAAATACCAGTGACAACCACATCATGACAATTTGTCACGTTTAACGCCAATGCCACATCCTAAAAGGTTAAGGGTACACAGAGGTTGAAGGTACACCTTTGTGTCCTGACTACAACATTGTCAGGCCTTGAAGGATTTTGAAATAATGTATCATAAATGTTTTACCATATTAAGACATCACGTCCAAGACCCACACCCATACCTTCAAGGTCAATTTTGTAAGATTGCTGTGAATAGTAATTCATTTTGTAAGATCAATATTAAGCAATAAGTTATGTTTATTATGCCCCTCTTTCCCCTTCAAAGAAGTGGGGGTATATTTCTTGGCATTTGTCTGTCTGTTTGTGCGTAGACCTAATGGTTTGCGATCAGTAACTAAGGAACGCCTAGGTATAGGAACGTCAAACTTTGTATGGGGTTGTTCGTAACAAGAAGATGACCCCTAATGTTTTTGGGGTTTTTAGGTCAGAAGTTAATTGACTTTGAAATTTGAATGTCAAAATGGTTTCCAATTGATAACTCAACAACTTCTAGGATTTTGATTTTCAAACTACACTTGTGCATTGGTCTTGGTCTGTAGATGACTTGCCTGATACAAGGATCAGGGTCATATTGACCTTGTAGATAAAATGGATTTCCAATGAATAACTTGACAACCCATGTTGCTTTTGGTTAGAAGATCAATGAATTTTTTGGGTCAAGAGGTCAGAGGTCAAGATCACATTGACCATATGAGTAATAAAGGTTTCTGATTAATGTCTCAATAACTCATGGGCCATTAACCTTCAAACTTCACAGGTGCATTGGTATTGGCCAGTAGATAACCCTTATTGGTTCAAAGGTCAAAGTCACATTTGCCAGCTAGCTTACGGAACATCGGTGGTTCGACTCAGGTGACTGTTCGTGTCTGAATTAATTCACAGAAGGGCACCTTAGGCCTTTCAGCACTAGTAAAGCTGGAAAGTCGCCACATCACCAATAACATGTCGGTGCAACGTAAAATCCAATCAGACAAATAAAATGGAGTAAACACATTTAAAACTCTCGCCATGCAACACTTGCTAAAAAGTTTTTTTTTCATATTAAATTATATGATATAACTTTTTTTCTGAAAAATTCTAATACTAGTAAGAAAAACTTAATGAATATATTTACTTGTAGAGAAAGGACATAAAAACTATGCAAAGATGTAGTAGAAATAATGACCTAACCACTTTAATTATGACTGCTAGTTGACAATTCTTGCCCGTTTAGAGCATCGCAGTTTTGAACTCGGTTGCTCAGACAATTTACAGGGTATACATATATATCTTATAAAATATTTTAATAAAATTTACCAACAGTGAAATTAAAATGGTTCCATTATTATATTGTTGATTCCCGAAAAAGTTGTAAAATAGAATGTCTCTGTTATTTAACACACATGAATATTGTACGTAAACACAATTAAATGTTCCGAATAATGCAATCTACGGTGGCATAAAAGTGACATTGGCAAATTTCTTTTATTTTTTTTTTATTTTTGATACTTATTTTTTGTTGTTGTTTTTTTGTACTTTTTTATTGTTTTGTTGTTTTGCATACATATTTTTTTCTAAAAATTTGCAAACATATTCTATTTTAGTTTTTCGTACATATTTAATTTTATTTTTTTTTGTACATATTTTTACATGACACCATTTGCAAAGTAGAGGTTTGGATAGTTACGCCATTTGTAAAACACCATTTTCAAACACTTCGCCATCTGTAAAATGTAGTACCTCATTTGCAAACAACAAAATTTTCATTTTGGAGGCATAAAAAAATAACAAACAGTGTTTTGGAGGCATAAAAAAATAACAAACAGTTTTTAGTAAATATATATACATAAATGCATATATAGTCCGCGGTAACGCAAAGAAAGGTTCTGCATATGGTCTCGATGTGGTTAACGTTTGACTCAAGGTACATGAAAATCCTTCATGGGGTTTAGGAGATAAGGAGCGGGCATGAAACCCAAGTCACAATTCTTTGACCTGTATGTGTGACCCCGACCTTGAGCCGGCACACCTGGCATATAAGTTCTGCACATTTATGGATTTAGAACTAAACAGACATTTATTTGTAGGGAAAGATTGACTGGTTTGAATGATCATTTAATATAGCTTTCTGGTCAAACCACTCACAGTTACTTTGTTAAGCTACTATACTGTACTGTTCAGGGAAATAGACTTCTATTGGCATGTAATTTCTGTATAAACAAAGGATTTGTATACATTTGAAACAATTATAACAAGTATTGTAGTATTTCTTTCGCATTAAGTACAAATTGCTTTTACTTTTCTATTCAAGACAGCCTGATTTCTTTGTTAATTAGCATCAAACATCTAAAGTATGTAATTCTGCGTTAATGCTGAAGAATGTATTTGTTGCCTCATATGCAATTCAAAAAATTGTATAAGAAAGCGATAGTACCTTCTAGAAATGCCACAAGTCAAAAGCCTTGACAAATATACACCAATAATTCAAGTCTCTTATTAGTTGATGGCTTAGTGTATTTCACCAATCTAACATATTTACTCTAACTTTCATACTTTATGCTTTTTAACAATATGACGGTCAAACAGGTATACTTATCAGTTAGTGATATTGTTTTTGACAAATAATTAAAACTGATACTTGGTCAACATACTTACACCTCACCAAAATTGTTGGTATTCATCATTCAGATAAATAACAAGACAAAACATTATTCTAGACTTAAGTAGTAAATAATAATAAAATACAAAATGTGTATGTTTATTTTTCTCTTTTTCAGGTACTAGAGATCATAAATTTTCTTCCAATTATTCAGATTCGGAAAACATGGAAGCTACAGTTTCTAACCACCCAATCTATGGATAAAACGCTGAACAGTTCAAACAGTTACTGGCAAACAATGGTAAAGAAATGCCATCTTCATGTAATAAAGCATTAAGTCTATACCAGTGGCTGAAACTTCGTGTTTAAAGGACATATATGATTGTATTATCACAAACGGTGTAGGCCATTAATGTATAATGTATATCACCATTTACATGCTGAGGACTTTGATTATATTTCAACAAGCTTATTGTGTAAGAAGAATACCATAGCAAATGAGCAAACTTTATTATTTTTTATCATAGAAATTTACAAAAGACATGTAATATTAAAATTTGAATTAAAACCCAAGACAAAATAAAATACTTGAAAATGCTGTCATATTGTTACAAGTTTCAGAAATCTCTACAATAGAACTTCTCACATAAAAATGATTTTGGCCAAGATAACGAGTGGTCAACGCGTCGGACTAGTAATCTTATGATCGCTAGCCGCATGGATTCAAACACAGACAGGGGCAAGTTGTTGTTTCCTTGAGCAAGAAACTTTACACTCATTGCTCAGTACTGGTTGGTTCCAGGAACGGATTCGAAAGTGTGTTTATAAGCTAATGGCTTCCTAGACAATCGAACTAAAATAAATTCTGTATAAACCAACAATGGCTAGCCTCATTAACAAAAGCTCCACTTACTACATTTCTATAGTTGACCAGGACAAATACGTAATATTTGCAGAATCTGAAGTTGGAAGCAATATCATTGACTGAGAAGAATATTAAGGCGTGAATGGTGGTCATTTCATTGTTCCATGTTAAAATTGACAAATTTGATACAATTGAGTATCTTTTTTACGGCTAAAAGTATGGTTTTATATTTGAATGATGTAGTTTGTATCATTAAAATGTATGTGACGATATGTAATTGCTTTATGTCATAATACACTAATACAATGTATATGTCCCTGTGTCTGCATTATTAGTCATTGGCCGCAAGAGTATGTTAAGTTGGCAGAATTTTTATGCTGGTCAACATTTTATCTGTGTGTCACTCTCGCCATGAAAGTACTTTAAAAAGTATTTTGAGGAATTTTTATTTACATTTTGCAAATTGGTAGTCTTTTGGTACTTGAAAATGTTAAATAATACTTGTCCCAAGTAAAGCTATCTCGCTGAAACATCAGTTATAGACGCCAGTAAGAGAAAGAGCAGTGTCAAAGAACTGTAACTCTTCATTACTTTTTGAAATTATCTACCTTAGTAATACCGGCCCATTACACTTTTGTTTATGATATATAGCCTTTATTTATTGACCGATTTCTTTCATGTTTTGTAGACTCAAGGTAACTTTGAACACTTTCGTCAAGGTCATTGATGCTTAGATTTTTACACTGCTGTTCATTCAGCTCTTTTTTTAAATAATTTACTGATGTTAGTAGATACTTTTGTTGGTCATCCAACTTAAGATGCTAGACCAAAGGTCACCAGTGATAAAGATTTACTTATACGGGACTTCATTGACCAGTTATCTTGGCTGTTGCTATAACTTTGGGTAGAGAAGTGGTCATTTTGGGTTAAGGTTACAAGACTGATACAAATCCAAAACAGTTTGTTTAAGCAGCCATTAGTTATTGACCGAGGTCTTGAATATTTGGTAGGTAGATACATCGGCTTATCCATGGAATATGGGATTGCTGGGCTTCTAGTCGTTTGAGCTAAGAAATAAATGTTTTTACATTTGTTAATAAAGTGTGCACTGAATACATAGACAAATGTTCAGGTTCAGGGAGCATCTTTAGAACATCATTACCTTAATCGATATTCTTGTCTTAACAAAAAATGATGAAAAACCTTGGAATTACCCAAAAACTAGTTTTTCCATGTTAACACGTGCCTTAACACCTAATTTTGGTGGAAAATTGTTGTTGTTTCTTTTTTTTGACATTTTTTAATTAACCTTTAACCCCAACAGCATATTGCGAAAAATGGCCGTTTTCATTGACAAACCTCCTGTGACAAGTTCAAACTGTTAAGAAACTATGAAAAATGCTTTAATACTGATGAAACTTGGCACAAATGTTAATTAGACCATAGCCTCTGTAACAGCATGCTCAATCGTAAATTTCCTGTTACCATGGTTAAGTGACGTCATCCTAAGAACGCAATTTATTCATAAAAGGCGTGCAGCCATGACGTCATTTAAAGCACGCGACTTGTCTTACACCCCGGGTTTTATAGCACCGGTGTAAACGGCAGATAATCCTGTCTGATATGCAAGAACAATGGGTATATGTGCAGTGCACAAGAATCACAACTTTGCCTTGGCTAGTTCTAGAGTTATTGCTCTTTGTTTATTTTTACTTTTTGAACTTTGTCTGGAAATTACTCTAAAATACATGAAACTCATTTTGGTAGATTGATCTCATTGAGTAAAATGCAGTACAAAAACAAACATAACTCTGTTTTGCCCAATTTTTTGATTATCTCCCCTTTTAAAAAATCTTGTCCGAGGAATTACTTTAAAACTACAAGAGATATCAACATGAAACTTTGTAGGTAGATGGATCTCAATGGATAGATGTGCAGTGTACAAGAACTTGATCTCCGCCTTGCCAAATTTTGTAGTAATTGCCCTTTGTTCATTTTTACATTTTGGAGTTGTCCGGGACATAACTCGGAAACCATAAGAGATATCAACAAGAAACTTTGTAGGTTGATAGATCGCATTAATTAAAAGTGCAGTGCAAAGAACAGTAACTCTGCCTTGCCTAATTTTGGAATTATTGCACTTTGAACTTTTTCCAGGAGCATAACTCTGAAACTTCAAGATGTGTACTTTCCTTTGTCCAAAACCTATTTTGGGAGCATCATCCGGCTCATACCGGGCTCTTGTTAGCTATTGCAGGACCTTGATATCTTCTGACGTACGAGAAGATGAAAAGAACCTTCAATGAAACTTGTTAAAGGCATGATTATGCCTCAGAAATGAAAAAAATATTTACATCTTTAGAAATGTCATTGTAACATTTTATAATATTTGAGTAAAGGTTTTACAGAATGTTAAATGCTTGGTACCTAAAGGAAATAGGACTAAATATAAAAGTAAACGTTAAAAAGTAGCAAAATGTAAGCAAGGTAGCATTTTGACTTCCATACAAATTACTAAATCACTAGAAATTTACATGCCGAAAAGCATCAGAAGGTTAAGACAGTTGTGGTAATTGACCAGTTAGTAGCTTGTTTGAAAATATAGAATGATACCAACAATACAAATATTTTGAAATAAAAAATGATGAAAGCATTTCTAGGGCATAATGGACCTTTAAGGATTATAAGAGGTCATTATTCTTCAATGCAAATTATAAAAGTATTTGGCGTGATAAAAGTAATTTGCATAAAGGTTCAAAAGGCAAAACTTCGTGTCAAATATTTAAGTTCTGGCCGTAGTATATTCCGTCAAGAAAACTTGACTTTTCCTCAAATGACCAACAGATCCTTCATTGTGGATAATAGATCATCGGATTTGCAGTTTTGGAACAGAATTACGCTGCAAGTAATTAGATACTAAGTAATCTAAGAGTTGGAATATTTAAGACAAGGTCCATGTTAATTTAACATGTATTTAGATCAACAGTGCAATGATAAAAACATGCCAAATATCTAAGCTCGGTACAATGTGGACTCTGGAGAGAAAATTTCCGGACAAATGTCCAGTTTAAAGTCTTATTTTTACCTATCAAGTGATGTTCTTTTGCATTAATTAGGAACCATTTATATACATGCACTTCTTGTATAGTGTCACCTAGAAACTTTTTTTTTTCTGAAACTTGGTTAAAAAAACAGAATATTTAGTTTTAAATTTAGAAACATTGACAGACAATTTGCCATCACAAATGCTCACCTCCGTCCAGCTGGTTCCCATGTGAGTTATTAGCAATATGTAAAATGTGGCATCACCACTTCAACAATAACATTATTGAATATAATGATTCAAAATAAAACTTTAAAAATATAATAAAACAAATTTGGAATAAACCACAATTTATTTATATAGTTTAACAGCCAGTATGTTTTACAAATACAGTGTTTATGATTAAAAGTACAGATTATTTTTGATAAATAAGAGTTTTCCATGCATATGTCTGTTTACAAAAAATAAACGAGGGCAGAGATCACAGCTATTGTGTAGCAGCAGACACAAAGTCAATAACAGAACAAAACACGTTTTTATTCAAGGGTCATAACTCATATAGAGACAATATTCTGTGTAACTGGCAACACACAGAATCAAAGCACAGAAGGCGCTGAATTTGTATGGGTCTCAGAATCATGGAACTTACTATAAGCATGTATATCTATAAAGAATAAAACAATTTAGAAATCTTCGACCATTCGGGAACTATTTTGCTTGAAAATTAATGCGCCTGTCATTTGACATCTTTACGCAGTGATCTCCCCTGAATTTTACGGCGTTAATGTACATACAAAGGGAAGTAACCGCTTCAAAAAAGCGGACTACTTTCGACATTTGCAATTAACAGCATCAGGATCTGAAATTTCGCTACCATCATTTGTTTGGTCTGACGACCCAACCAAATAAAAACCAATCTTTTTAATTCAAAGGCCATAACCAAGCCAAAAACCATTCAACCACAAAACCTGTGTAATATGTGCAGGTACTTGAGCTACCAATCTGTCCTGTAAAATTTCATTGAAATAGCATAAGTGGTATAAGTAGTAGCCTGGACAAACTTTAAGACTAAAAATCAGTAAAGGGTCATAACTCTTGACAAAACCATTGAAAAGGAAAATGCCTACAATATGTGCAACTAGACTTGGTATTAATCATTCCTGTAAAGTTTTAATGAAATTGCACAGTCAAATACTTTTTGAGGAGTAGTCTGGCAAATTTTAGGATAGACAGACCGACGATAATATGTGATCCCTATATGTCACCACAACTTTCTTTGTAAGAGGCGACACAAAAAATTGAACTATTAATTACTATACTGGAACACAATACGTAAAATTAGAGCTGTCATTGAATCAGTGCAAAGCATATCAACGATATGTCGATAATTACCTATAATTACATCTCTGTCCTACGGAAGCGTCCTGGTGTCTATTTAACATAAAAAATGATAACTCCTACGTAGGAGATAAAAAAGCGTAATAACTCCTACGTAGGACTCCACTCAGGTTTAAATGCCTAATATCAGATCATTTGAATTTCTTACATGAATGAACTGGGGCACTTTAAACAGAGATTTATGCAAAGATAGTTAAGAAATATACTTTCAAATAAGTTTAAAATCGTATTTTTATGCTTTTCATATCTCGATTTGAGTGAAAAGCGTTTAAACGCTTTTCAAGTTTGTGTCATTTTTTTACAATTTGAATAATTATTTTGGGAATACGAAGTATGCGAAAGATCTGAAATTTTGCACAAATATTAGTGAACAAAGTTAAACACATACATTTCAGATATAGAATCATCGTTCAATATATGTAGAGAATGACATCTTTAGTAAGTTCAATTTTCGGATGTAGTTGTATTGCTCAAAATAATTCAGATTATTGAGCTCCGGTTATTTTGCTCAATATCAAAAAATTACTAAGGCGGCTTTGTAGGAGCACATTTGTCTCGGAGCACATTTGTCTCACGAAGTGTGACCGATGTGTTTGTAAACATTCATATTTGCGACAAACTGGAAATGAGACAGATGTGTTCGACACACAATAGAAAGGACACTCGAAGCACATTTGTCTCACATTTTTTCCATA